TCTTGCAGTTTACTAGAGATAAATAGTAAATAATCAGGTCCCACTTGATCAGCACAGGGTCAACTGGGAAGCTCATTCTACCCGCTCCAAAGCGAACAGGATGCTCTAATGGGGAAAAGTGAATTAAGAACAGGGAAGAACAAGTGAATAGTAAGAGACTGGGGCACATTCTAAGGAGGAAAGAAGTGGGGGGTTGATATGCTTTGGGTGGAAGGTATTAGGAACTCAAACAAAGATGACACCTAAAAGTTCAAAGTTTAGGGATGTTTAGCCCTTTAGAAACACAGCAGGAGTAAAGGCTTGAAAGAAAGGAAAAGAGCAATGAGATCATTTGGGCAACTCAGAGGAAAAAAAGAAGCAAGATGCCAGGTAGAAGTAGTTCCTGCAGGGGAGAGCTGCTTAAGGTAGCTAAGACAACAGAAAACTTTCCTACCCATGAAACCAAGGGGCCAGTGTTCTGAGTCAATCTCACCCCCTTTACACACACAAACACGCAGGCTGGTTTATCACGGGGTCAACTACATACTGGGAACGTCAACAGTTAATCTGGCGGGATGCAAAAGCGGATGAGAGGGGATAACTTAATACAAGGGATCTACAGTACAGCGAGATCTAGTTCTAGATGCACCTCCAAGCTGTGTTAAGGGAGAAATCTGGAGTCTGGAGAAAAGTTCGGTTATTGGGGATGGGGTCGGAGTGTCAGGGTAGAGGAGGCGGGACTTGGGCACGATCCTGAGGCACCGCGGACGGTGGAAGCTGCACTGGGGTCCGCAGGGGAGGCTGGGTCATCAGAGCCTGTCACCGATCAGGGCACGTCCCCGGCCAGGGCTCTCATACCTTCCAAGGTGACGGTGTCCAGCTCTCGCTGAGAGTGCTCAGCCGCCGCCGCCGCTGCCTTGCCATCGGCCTCTCCCGTGGACCCGCCACCCGCCGCCGCCTCCTCCTTCATCTCCACATCCTGGGGGGCCGAGGGCGGTGGTGGTTCTTGTTCCCCTCCGCCGGGCGGCGGCTTCGCCTTGTCCGCCCCGCGGCGCCGCGCCGAGCCCTCCTGTTTCATGGCGCCCGGGGTCGCGGCCTTGTCCGGGGACCGAGGCCGGGGCCTCGCGTGAACCTTCGCACCAGAGACCAGGAACCGAGACGGGCCTGCACACGAGCGCGGGCTCCCTCGCGTCGGGCCACACGATGACGGAGCAGCTGCAAACCCCTTCCCGGCGCTGGGCCTTCTGGGAAACCCCAGGCCTGACAGGCCGATGACCGAGTCAACAAAGGAAAAAGAAATCAACAGCCGAAATGCAGGATGGAGGCGGATCTTCGAGGCAGGATCGGGGAGGAGCCTGAATGGGTTTTGGACTTTTTTTGGAGTGCTTAAGTTGGTTGATTTTACGTTCTTTTCGAATGTACTTCCATTCATGTCCATTAGAGGCCTCCTCGGGCCCCAAACTGGGTTTCACAGTACTGTAGAACACGCCAACCAGCGAGGAGTGGATAAGACCTATCAGAGCGCAGGGCGTGATGACATCATGAGTTGCCGGGTGGGTTCCTTGCTCAAAAAAAAAAAAACAACACCTGTCTCAGTGTGCTCCGGCAGAGGGCGTCTTCTAGCGCGAGGCTGTCCTCAACCGCCACCCGGTGCGTCGGGCACGAGCGAAGAAAAGAAGCCGCGAAGGATGTGAAGCTGTGCTGCTGTGCTTAAAATAAAACTGAACTGGAGAGTAGGAAGAACCTTGTGAGATCCAGACTTCCTTTGGAGAGTTCAGCCACTGCTGAACTTACAGCATGAAATCTCCGCAGCCTGGGAGTGCAAAGGAGGGAAGAATGCGTTCGTGTGCACTCATGCATTACTGGAAATCGGGTTGCCTTCTGTGCACTGCCCAGGGCTAGCTGTGTTTTGTAAGCAACCGCGACAACAAGACCAGCTACAGAATGTAGCCCAGTGGAAGCTCTGATGCGAGATGCGGTGCCCTGGGAGCCAGGGGGAAAGGGGGTGAAGCCCTTATTGGTAGGGGGTATAGGGTATTCTTATTCTTTGCCTTTATGCATCCAGACCAACACTGAGATGGGGAGAATGTCAGTGTCCCCGAGGACCAAAATATCTCCCAAGGAAAGAAAAGGTGGACGATAAACCTTGTCCATGTTTTAAAAGACCCCTCCAATGATTCTGAAGGATAAATAAAACCAGGAGTAGGATGCCAGGCCCGTATCCTAAGACGCAAAACAGAAGCTCCTTCCACCTTGTAGAGCGTCCATCTTTTTCATAAATGTGAGTCTTGAGTTTTACACTAGGTCAGATCCTACAAGCCATCTTATCCTGTTGGAAGGTCCTAGAGGCAGAGAATATGTTTTGACCCTATTCTGCTTTATATTTATTATACATAGAGTACATCTTATGCATTCTTTGTATCCTTCTCATACAATTGCAGCAAATAGCTCCTTGCAATAAACAGCCACGGAGCAGAAAAAATGTGTGCTTCAGTTTTAGGGACCAATTTCTCCCTGACTCCCTGCCCTCAGAAATGGAGGGAAGCTAACAGGACTTTTGAATCATCAATGGAATAAACTCATTAAGGCCTCTTTTTCCTAAGGTCATATCTGGAACTGAAAGTGGGTGAGAATGTTAGAGTCAGAAAACACAACAGCTCCGTTGTTCATCCTTCTGCAGTCACCCATCTGGATAGTTAGGATGTTAGGTCACCTCTTTATTAAGTTTACATCACAAGGGAAAAATAATCAACCTCATCTGTCCTTAAGCAATATAGTAAAGGCTTGGAAGGTACTACTATTTTTAAAAAAGGTTGATGAAAGATGTTAAAACCCATCTCTGGGTAGAGGAGAATGGTATGAACCTAGAACTTTTATGAGATTGCAGTGTCCATATTAGTAGGTCCATATACCAAGCCTACCCATTTCGTTAAATTGAGGACATAATGGGGGAAGGGAAAATAGGGAGATAATGTCACAGTTCGTTTTTCAGGTTTTGGGTCAGTCTCATTCTTGGGTACGTATGTTTTTCATTCTCTCCTGCCATAGCCCCAGAAGACTCTGTGATTTTGCAGTTATCTTGATTGCTCGAGATGTCATATATATTGATATTGACTAATCCAGAGGTGGGAAAATTGAGATGGACCAGCTTAAGTTAGTTATCAATGGAAAAAAAGGAACCACTTGCTTATGAAGGCTCTGATAAATTCTGATAAACACAGTTGCCTTCAAAAGGCAATGACAGATAAAAAATTCTCTGTGCTGGCCGCCCCTGGTGGCACAGCGGGTTGGAGCGCTGCACTGAGAAGCTAAGCCAAGTCAAGCTGTGGCCATTCAGTGTGAGTTCGGTTCCCGCCCCAGAAGTGACCCACATGGCGCCGCAGACCTCTCCTGTCTTGCCGGCGGATCCCCTCAGCAATCTGCTTGTTCTGCTCCTCACTCTGTCTCTGGTGAATCCCTTTGCTGCCCCCGCACCTCTGGCCTGTACCCCAGTTCTGTATGCATAAATAAATAAAATCTTAAAAAAAAAAGCATGTCTGTGCTGAGAGACCCACCCACCTAAATGAAAACTAACAGGTGGTCCTGATGATCTTCTTCTGGAGAATGGTGTAAATATAGATGCCAAGTTAAGCCAATCAGGTCTGATCTGTGTGGCCTCCATGCCACACACAACAGTCAGTGGAGGTACAGAAATCTTCTCCAGCTTTTGGAGAAAGCAGCTGGGAAGTGGTCCTTCCCTTTCTGTTCACAGAAGGCTGCTTGCAGCTCTCAAAGTCCATCTACTCTGTGTCACCAGTCTCTGAACCTCCCTGAGGTCTGTATCCCTCCCTCCTTTGACTGCCAATTGAATTGTATGCGCATATGACTGTAATGTAAACTGCCCCCCCATAAGTCCATATTGTGATTATGTGTGCCTGATTTATGTCCTAAGTGAAACCTTCACGCTCTGGTAGAAATGAGCACTTTTGAGGTTGGCCCTCATGTAACAGTACGTCGTCTGAGTCTGTCTTGAAGGTGCTCAGCAGTGTTCCCTAGGATGCTCTGAGGTGACCTCCAGGACACCCTGCTCTGGCAGTGAGGTCAGTGGAGGTACTGGAGGCTAAGAAGCTTATGTCGTCCTTTCTCTAATTGCAGAAGCAATCATCCCTCCCTTAACTACCAGGAAGAATGAAGATTGGGAGGAATTATCTGGGTGTCGGAATTCAGTGTGTGGGATTCTTGGAGCCCTCTGAGAAAGAAATCAGCAGGCAAGGCAACTTTATTAGGGAAAAGAGAATAAGGACAGAAATGCCTACGTAGACACAGGCTGGCAATGAACTGCTGGGTACATTTTTGGGAAAGGCCTACATTTTGGAGTCAATAAATATCTTTTTTAAAGATTTATTTACTAATTCATACAGAACTGGGGTACAAGCCAGAGGTGTAGGGGCGTGAAAGGCTTCACCAGAGACAGAGCAAAACAGGCAGATCGACAAAGTACAATGCTGAGGGGAGCAGCAGGGCAGGCCAGGAGAGGACTGCCATACCTCCAAGGCCCGATGGCACTGAAGAGGCTGTGGCTTGCAGTGCTGTGTCCTACCCCGGCCACCAGGGAGGCCGGGAGTCAATAAACTTTTAAGTTGTCTTATACTTGTTTTGGGCTTGCCATGTACCTTTAGGTCGTGGCCTTTGCACACCCTTCAACCTGAGACTTTAGGACCCCGAGGAAGCTCTCTGCAGGCAGTCTGCTTAGATGATTGTCTTACTTTCAAGTCTTGATTCCATGTTCTATACCCTCAAAGTTCTCTGAGCATTTTCCAGTCTGAAGGACATATAGCCTTTATGTACATTTGATCTATATGTAGCATGCCTTTCTCTTTTTCAAATTAAGGATTTCCTTGTGATAGATTCTTTAAAGAGAAACAGCAGAGATATCTCATCCAAACATAATATTTGTCATTAATTCCAGTGACGCTTGCTTTTTGGAAGCAGAAGCAGAAAGGATTGGGAGAGGAAATACATTTAAAAATGTTTTACTTGGTTTTGCTGAAATGCCCTTATTTAGTCTGAAAAGCATGAGTATTTCTACTCTTGGAGGAGTAAGCCTATGCAGAGAAGGCTTATCTGGTTGTGGCACTGCAGGAGTGGGGGTGATATGGGGTTGGACAGGTGGAAGTGTATTATCTGGGGTGGTCACTAGGGTTTCCATCCCTGGCCTGATGGCTCTGGAATGCCTGAGGTGTTCATAACACTGTAGAGCGAGGTAGGGAAGGCTTTAGGGAAGCAGGAAGCAGACAGTAAGTTAGGAAGCCTCGGTCAGTAGCTGCAGGAAGGAGAGGCCAGCGTACAGGGCACAGAGGCGAGGCAGCGTGTCTGGGTCCCACGTGTACTCAGGGCCTGATCTCTGTAACTCCAGGCCGCTCAGCCCCACAAGGGCCTCGGTCAGGGTCAGTTCTTCTTCTCCAAGGGAGGAGAGCTGCTGAGGGCGCAGGGAGAACACCCCCTCTTTATCCCGGAGGAAATTCTGTTCCATTGTGGTCTCCACCTGGAAGGAGCCAAAATAGCATGAGGAAAGAAAGAACTGGAAATTCCTCTTACTTTCTCTTTCGTGGTCGTATACAAAGCACAGAGTAGGCACTATGTCTCTTATTCTAACTCTTTTCAGGCCATTGCCTTACCACGCCCGGGCTTTTTAACACAACCCCGTATAGTGAGTGGCATGCTTATTTTTTTTAATTAAAAAAAGGCTTCCTAACTTACTGTCTGCTTCCTGCTTCCCTAAAGCCTTCCAAAAGCAGATATTCTTGGCACGTTTAATTTTTTTTTGCAAGTTTAATTTTTAACCCCATTTTACAGAGGAGTAAATTGAGGCTGACTCAGAGACAAAACCAGTTTGTTCACATCACTGGCTTGGGAATAAGCAAAGTCAGTCTTGTGCCTCTTCTGCCAGAGTCAGGTAAAAAACCCCAGGTCACTGCCTGGAAAGCCACTCTTCAGTCGTTGGTCCTGAGGCAGCAAAAAGGCAGAAAAGCAAAGAGAAAGAGACATAGCCTGGGCTCTGGATGGGACAAGGGCCCAGGGTCTGTCCTCCGCCCTAGCTGACTCCCTCCCAAGCTCTTCCTGGCACCTGCGTTGTTTTTTTTTTTTTTTTCTCTCACCAGCTTTAGCTGCACAGGTAGAATCTTTTTCTCCATGGATTTTACCAGTAGCTTCTGTTGTACTTCACTCAGCTCTGGAGGGAAAAGCAGAGAGAAAGCTGTGCAAAGGGGCGCACTCCCAGTGTCACACCATGGGTGAATGGCTGCTCTGTGCTCCGTGCTGGGCATTGGGGAAAAGTCATACCCCCTTCACTTAAGGAATCTGGAGTCTGGGCCCTCCCTGGTGGCACAGGGGTTAAAGCAGCACTGCTAAGTTGGCCACAGCCACTTCAGCTCCACTTCGAACCAAGCCAGGGAGCGGACCCACAGGGCGTGGCAGACCTCTCCTGTCTCACCGGCTGCTCCCCTCAGCAGTGTACTTCGTTAATCTGCCTGTTCTGCTCCTCACTCCATCTCTGGTGAATCCTCTCACAATCCCTGCACCCCTGGCCTGGACCCCAGTTTTGTATGCATAAATAAATAAATATTTAAAAATTAAAAAAAGAACATGGAGTCTGGTGAGAAAACAAAGCGATGCGTAATCACAATGGAGAGTTAGGGGAGCCCAGAGCTGAGGGGTCTGTCTTGATCTTGGAGTGGGGGGTGGGTTTCTTTCTTGGAAGGAGCATATCAGCTGAACCCCTGAAGGATTGTGGCGGGGGTGGGGGTGGTGAATGTTTCATGCAAGAAGAGAATTCAAGGGCAAGGTCAGAAATATTACTGCCTAAAGTGAAATTAACAGGTGTGGCTGTAGAAGCGGTAAGCTGAGATAGATGCAGAAGTTGGCAGAAGTTTTCAATCGGTGGCTGGTACAATGAGGGCTGTTTCTTAAACAAGGAGACCAGGTAAATCTTTGGAGATGGAAACAGTTTTCCCAAAATGTGTACATAAGTTCGTCACTGGGCATCATCATCTGCCTGGCATTCACTCACTCACTCACTCCTTCATTTGGGAGTGACTTCAATAGTTTACTCCTTTCCTCACTGGGGTGTAGCGATGACAACTTCGCTCCCGCTTACCTGAGAGGGCGCCCAGGAAATAGAGGATGGCGCCCATGACATCCTTGGAGAGGAGGACATCTTTCGGGAGCGCTTCCAGGCTCACTTCATGTCCTTTGTCTAGAGCCCCTTCAAGCTGTGGGGAAAGGTGGGCAGGTGAGATGATGCAGGTCAAACAAAGGTCCAGGGCTCGTCATCCCTTGAAATGTCTTAACGTTCCAGTTTCCTTGCTACCTTTCCAGTCCTGACCTGGAGAATACTGACCCCCTGGGTCCCTTGGTCCCTGGTTCTGCAAAGGAAAGTCTCCAGCCTCTTTCCAACAGCTGGACCTCCGCTGGCGGCTTAACCCTCTGTCCCGGCTTAACCCGCTTAACCCTCTGTCTCCGGGGAAGCAGTGCTTGGGGAGTCCTGCCGCTTGCCTTTTTCTAGAGGGGCCTTGGAGCACCGACCCGCCTGGCAGCTGTGGGGAGGCAGCGGGGCCTGCTCCCCTGGTGGCACCCCGTCTGTGCAGTCAGCCCCCCACGGGCTGCCATGCTGCTCACAACTCCCCTCCTCCCCCCTCCTCCCTTCTCCACCTTCCTCCAGGACTCACTGTGAGTTCCAGGTCTTGTAGTTCCTTTTTCTTCCCTAGAAGTTTGCTGAGGGAGCTGAGCAGGGAGCTTTTCCCTGTTTGGCTCAGCTTCTCCACTTCTTGGGTCTCTCTTTGAACCTCTTCTTTTAGTGTCTTGAAGTCCTCATGTACCTCCCCTGTGGGGGCAGTAAATGTGGTGACCATACCCCCCTTCCAGCTGGCACCTTTCCCATTGAATTCAGTCAGATTCCCTCTATAGGAGCTCTTTTCTGGGGCCCTTCTCAGGTCCCTGTGCTCTGGTCCCCTCTTGGGAGGTCAGGGAATGTGGTTATGAAGTTGTCTGCCAGCCCTGACTGGAGGTGTTGGTGGTGGTGGGCTTGTAGGGAGGTGATGGGCCAGGGCCCATGTTAACATCAAAACGAGCCATCATTCGAGCCCTCCCTGGTGGCACAGCAGGTTAAAGCACAGCACTATGAAGCTCTCCAAAGCAACTACAGTTCGTTCCCGGCCAGGGAGCTGACTCACATGGTGCGGCAGACCTCTCCTGACCTGCCTGCTGCTCCCCTCAGCAGTGTATTTCGGCCTGTTCTGCTCCTCACTCTGTCTCTGGTGAGTCCTCTTCCCCTCCCCCTGCCCACCCCCTACCTCTGGCCTTGTACCCCAGTTCTTGTATGCATAAATAAATAATTCTGCAAATAAATAAACAAATAAACAAATAAACAAGCCAGCATACTCCCTGAGATCCCAGATCCCAGGCCCCCCAGTAGGTGATGGACTTCCCTGTTCCTAACACTCCTGCTAAAAGTTGGGAACAAATTGATGAGTCAGCTGATAAAGAATGGCCTCACGGCTGCCGAAGACACTCTTCCAAGGTCAGTGAGCCTGACCCTGGGATGTGGGTGGAAGGGATGGCCTGAACCCGACCTGGCCCTCTAGGGGCCTGGCACCCTGGGAATGCGTCCCGCCTGCTTTGGAGAGCGCAGTTTCCTGAGGTGGCTCCCAACCCTGGGACCTGAGACTCAGCATTCGTCTCCCCTTCCCTTCACCCAATGCTTCTCCACTGCCTTCAAGCCAGCATCTTGGGGAAACTCACAAGATTCCATACCAGCATCAGATGCCTGGATAACTGAGGGAAAAAAGAAAACACGGTAAGAATGTCATCCCCAGAATGGCAGCCTCACCCAGGGGAGACCGCCTCTGTCTTAAGGATCCTCTAGCTCCATTTGTGGGAGGAAGGAGTGGGTCAGGCAGAAGCCCAGGCTATGGAAGCCAGACCTCTGGCTTGAGTCAGCGTCAAGGTAACTCTGTGGCTCCGTCTGCACATGGGCAACAGGCCAGATCTACAAAGGGCCTGAGGCACAGAGGCCCGACGAGGTGCCCACTGAGACCTCGTCCGAAGACGTTCCCCACCCACTGTCTTCTCCCCAGTATTGGGATCTCTGCCATATTTCGGGGATCATTGATGGCTGAGGCCTGCTCTTGCCATTCCCCCCATCTGTCCCACAGAGAAGGAAGGGAAAGAATGGAGTTTGAAAATTCTGAGTCAACAAAGTTGCAGTGACATGAAAGGCGACACTTACGGATAAACTTTTCCTCTTCTGGCTTTTCTGAAGACAGAAAAAACACACACATGTCAGCGCAAAACCTGTCTGTGCCTTTTTATCTAGTCAAGGCAGCTCTGTCAGTGATCATTATGGAAACACATGGAGAGAGTTTCGCTTGCCCGCCCCCGCGATCTGGGAACACACACTGTCTCCAGGCTCTTCCTGCTTCCCACCGTGCCTTCCCTGCTCCGTCTTTCTGCATCTCTGTCTTTCTTGGGCAGAATTTATATGCCTCTGTCTTGCCTAAAGTTGGGGTTGGTATTTTAGAATCTGGGGGAACAAAGCCGGGGCTCCTTGGGGGTAATAGTGTGCAGTTTGAGGGTGCAGGATTTTAGCAGCTACAGTCGGAGCGAAGGCGGAGATGAGGGGTCCAGAGAACAATCACACTTACCGCCTCCGGGAGGGAAGGTTTGCATGTTGTCGTTGTAGATGTGTGGAATATCTGTCAGGAGCAAGAGGGGGAGCAGGAAGCCTCTTAACAACTGCCCCCACTTTCTTCGCTCTAGTCTCTAGTGGCTGGGCTCTGCTGAGGGCGCAGTCCATGCAGCCCAGTCAGCATCTACACGTGCTCCCTGACGTAGCCTCCGAGGGGACCAGGAGTAACTCTTTGATGGGGTAGCTCTTGGCTTGAGGGGAGAACACCGGGCTCTGCTCACCCCACTTATCTTTGCCTTTGACCATCAGCTGTCTCACTCGAAAGGCCAGGATGCAGCCCTTGGGGATGGTTATGGCCTCCTTGTGGTTCACGGACCCCTAGGGGTAGACAAGGAACATTTGTGAATCTGCAGCAGTCCCAAGAATGAAATGTTGGGGTTGAGAGGTGACCAGGTGAGGGGACCAGGCCTGAGTCCCTCAGGGGAGATGAGAAGTTGGGACCTTTCAGTGGTGCCCCGAGTCCGGGCTCCATGGCGTGAACGTCAAAGCCACTTTGCTCATTTCTAATAATCACCCCTCTAAAGATCTGTATCTCCCTCACACATGAGGGAGCTGGGCAGACCTGCTCCATGGGCTGTGTGCGGATCTCTGGCCCTCCTATGCCCTGGCCCTTCTTCCTCTTTGCCATCTGTCCCATGCACACCTCCTTCATGAAGCCTTCCACGACTAACCCCTACTCCCAGTTACAACTCATCACTTGAGTATGTATCCAAAATAGGTATAGGAATGTAGGGCATTCCTTATTACACTGAATTTCCCAAGCTGTGTTCTCTGGGCTTTAAGTCACGTGTCTTGTCTCGAGACAAGACATGTCTTGTCATGTGTCCCGAGGGCGTCTCTCCCTTAAATTGGAAACACCATGGGAAAGTCCATGACTGAGTTTCCCCTTCCTGATGGTTCCCTGCCCACACTGGGCACCGTGACCAGGGGTTGGGGCCTATGTCTCACCAGCTGGGCCTGGATCTTGAGGGCAGGGCAGGGGATGTAGTGGGTTCTTTCTGGTGTCTTGGGTGGGCACTGATGGTGCAAAGTTAATGCTGCCTGTGAGGAGACGCTGACTGTGATGTATGTGAGTGCACAATGCCAAACCTGTAGCCCCAGTGGGGCGAAGAACGGGAGGGAGAAGCACCCCTCTGCCTTGCCAGCTCTCTCCAGGGTGACCTCCTGGACCGTCTCCACCACCTCCATCACCACATACAGGTTCTCCCCTCGATTCTGCATCTCCTTCAGGAAGGGGTGCTCTGCCGTCAGCTTCCTGCGGCAGAAGGTACCTGAGGGAATGGCTCCCAGCTCCTCCCCCAGCCTGGCCCTCATCCCGTCTTTCCCAGAAGGAAGTCAAGGTGGTGTCAGGGCAGGAGCGAGGATGCCAAGTACAAACAAGGTAGACACCGGCCTCCCACTTACCGCGGGGCAGCTTCTGAGTCCTCATTCCCTCACCTATAAAATGAGGATAATGACACCTGCCTCCCAGGTGGTTGAGAGACACACTGGGTGATCACCTGGCCCAAAACAGGGCCCCCCGGCAGCTGCCTTCTCACGCTTCCTTCATTCTAGGCAGAGATTTCCCTCCCTCCCTCCCTGTTCTCGGACCTGCTCCTGTCTGCCCACTGACTGCCCTCTGCACCCCTCACTGTCTCCCGTGGCTCACACCAGGCCCCTTCTCCATGGCTCTTCTGTTTGCCTGCGTGCAGAAACATGTCTTGCTACGCCCTCCAATTACTAATCTAGCTCTTCCTTCCACTTCGTTAGCAGATATCTCGAAGGCTCTGCCCCTACCCATTGACTTTCCCCTTTAAGTTCTTTATAATTTGACTTTTATTTCCACTCCTCAAATGAAATTACAAGCACCTCCCGCCCACCACCCCAGGCCTCCTCTCCCCCTCTGCAGCCTCGGACCCTGCGGTCTGACCCGCATGCCATGCCGTCTGCTCCCGGCCTCCGTGGCTCTGTGTCCCCCCCATCCCCGCTTCTGCTCCTGGCTTTCTGGCTCCTAAATCTTATCCATCCTGCCTGCATCTCATTTTCTCATTTTTTTGGCTCCCTAAAATGTTATGTTTTCTAAGATTCTGTTCTCTGAGCTCCTCCCAACAGTTTCTCCTCCTGATTCTGTAATTTTAATTTTAATGTTGCTGACCACCCCCTGTGTCTTCACCTGGGCTTCTCTCCTCACACCACACCCCCATTTCCAACTACCAGTTGAACATGCTTGGCTGATGTCCCAGTGGAACCACAAACTCGAAGCGTCCAGAAGGAACACGTGATCTTTCTCTACACATCTGCTTGCCGTCTCTTCTCTGTCTTCCTAGTTCCTACTACTGGCTCATCCTTTTAAAAACTATCATGTATAATCCATATCTAAATACATTTGCATATATTTAAAGTGCACAACAGGATGTTTTCACACACACCCACCCAGAGAAATGGTCACTGGTTCAACTACTAGACATGTCCACCTCTTCCTCCACCATTACCATGTTGTGTGTATAGTGAAGTAGACCCTCTTAACAACTTTCCTGATTACAGTAGAGAGCACCGTAGTCATCTTGCTGTCCCTCAGGACTCTATCACGATCATTTTTTGAAAGATTTCATTTATAGGCCTCCCTGGTGGCACAGGGGTTAGTCTCAGCACTATGAAGCTCTCCCCAGCCACTGAAGTGTGAGTTCGACCCCCGGCCAGGGAGCTGACCCACATGGCGCAGCAGACTTCTCCTGTCTCACCCACTGTTCCCATCAGTGGTGTATTTCAGTAGACCTGCCTGTTCTGCTCCCTACTGGTGGTAAATATTCCCCCACCCTGCACCTCTCACCAACACCCCAGTTCTTGTATGTGTAAGTAAATAAAATTCATCTTTAAAACATTTTCCACTTATTTTTGCATAGAAGAACTAGGGCTAGGCCACAAGTGCAGCATGGAGGAGGGGAGAGGATTCACCAGACACAGAGTGGGGAGCAGAGCAGGCAGAGTGACTGACATACCCTGCTGAGGGGAGCAGTGGGCGGGACAGGAGAGGTCTGCTGCGCCATGCGGGTCAGCTCCCTGGCCGGGGAACTCAAGCCATAGGGTGATGACACTGAGACGGCCCCGGGGCCACCATGGAGGCCATCATGACCACCTTCAACAAAGCCCTCGCCCTCACCCTGGCCCCCTGTGTCCTTCCCTTGACTCTGACTGCCCCTCCTGGCCCCTGTGTCCTTCCCTTGACTCTGACT